TTTACTTTAATAATGGAAATAATTAATTATTTTTTTTTTACTTTTGCTTTGTAAAATATTTTGGAAGGTAGCTTTCGGAGCATTTGCAAAAACATATCAGCATGTACTCAATTTGTATGATAGAAATTTTTTCTTATTCTCATTTTCAAATTTTATGTAGTTTTTTTTATAAATTCAATCCATCGAGCGGGTCCTGTTAATGGCGAGGGTGATACAAAGAGTCGGGGAGTGCGTATGTTTCAAAGGGGGTGTCAAAAAGGGGGTGGATGTAAACGGACGTAATTTATTGATCAGCATATACATACAAAAAAAAACTAAAGAATATAACAAGAAAACGGCTAAGTAAAATGGAAAAAAATAAAAGCCAGCGCATAAATAAATAAATAAAAGCGACAGCGCATAAAACAGAAAAGAAAGAGAGAGAACTTGGCGTTCGTTTCGGGTCCCCTCATTATTTTTTGGCAAAAATAAATTAGAATTAGATACACACATTCAGATACAAAGACACAGATACTGTCCGCCAAGAAATGCGTAGATACAAAACACAAAACCAACGACAACACATTTCCAGTTTAGCCAAAAATCGGGGAACTTGGGGGCCGGGGATACGGTCTCACATATGGCTGCAATTAAGTAATTTTTGGAGCAACAAAAACGTAAAATAATATTTAGACGATACATAGAAAACGAGAAACTTCCCGAGCAGCTAAAAAAAATAAAGAAATACGAAATTTAATCTAAAACGAAACGAAAAGTCGACAATTAAACCGAAAAATCTTAAAGAAAAAAAACAGTGGGGAGGCAAAAACCGACCCCACATCAAATTTTGTGTATTTTACTTCCCAGTGCCTCCATTATTATACCCCAAACAGATGTGTTCAGCTTGCTAGCACTACAATTTTACAAGACTTAAAGAACGCAGCACAAAGTGTAAATGCAAATTGGACTAGTTCTGAAAGAACTCATCAAAATTGTTTAAAACCCATTTGGGTTTTTTTTAGACATAGCTTAAGTTTGGATACCAAATTGTTAATAAAAAAAAAAAACAATTGATATCAGCGATAGTAGAGGTCTTCCTCGTAACTTCAAAACTGTCGTATGCATCATTTAAAGGGGCTATAAACCACTACAATATCTGTTGCTTTGAGGTTTATGATGTTATTATCAGCATTATTGTAGCTTTAAAAATTAATTAATATTCTAATTAGAACGTATATTAATTTTATCAAATTTTTAAGATCAAAAGCCTAAGCTGAGTTCATAGTTATATTATTTAAAAACCTATAAAAAAGAGAAAATACACATTTTGTTGAGATATGTAGAAAGCAATCAGAAAATCTATTAGTGTGACCGCAACTATATTTTCCCCTTTGGAACGTTGTTCGCTAACAAGAGTATTACATACGGTTGGTAACACAGATATACATAAATACACAGTCAGATTCCCACTTCTTCTTCTTTTTACTTAGCTGTTTTCACTCCAAAAATTGCTGGTCCTATTGTTGTTATTACTTTTTACTTTTAATACTGCCGAAAAATAAGCAGCTACAGCACCAACAACATCAGAAAGAGAAACAGAACAGCCGTAAAGCCAAAAACAAATTTAATGTGCTTCAAGGTTAGCCGACAAGCAGCGACGTCGACGTCGAAAGCAACGCGCACGAAACGAAAAAAAAAAATTAACAAAAAAAAAACATGGTACAAAAAAGGAACAACAAAATTTACGCCAAAAAAGAACGCACAACAAAATAAAATTCGTGATGAATTTTAAACAATAAAAACAAACAACAAACAAATGATCAGATAGGGATGTGGTGGGGATAAGTGGTGGATGGCTAGCTGAGGGGAGGTGGGTAGAGGGGGAAAGGTCCAAGGAGAGGTTAAGGCAAAGGTTATACGTAAATATTTTGGGGAAGAAAAAGAAGCGATTACGACTACGAATCGAAATTGGAATATGCCAACAACAGTCTTTAAAAACCATCGGTAATCAATCCTAACTCATGTCGATACCGTTGTAGTGGTACTTGAAAGGAGATTCCCTGTGATTATTCGTAAAGTTAACAGGATACTAACTCACTAAACTCTAGGATATGCACTGTGCGTATGGATTCTTCTTTCGCTTCTACAGCTGGTTCTTCTTTTAAGATTCAGTTGAGGAGAGTTGTTGTTTGCGAAGCATTTTCGACTGTCGACAAGTTGACAAATGGCAAACCGGCTTGGATTTTAGCCAAGCTCAAACCACTGACAACCCCCCTCTCAAAAAGCAACCAACACTCATTCTGAATGTAGTAAATATATAAATAAAATACTCGTTAGCAAATCGAAATGCATACGAAATTTTAATAAATTTCGGCTGACCAAACGGGAAAAGAAAGCGCGTGGGCGAGCCGGCATCGAATCGGGAGTTGCGAGGGATCGACGCATCGAGGGATAGGCTATAGGGTATGTACAAACATCAATTGGTTAATCAATTTGCCCAAAAATGAATTGAACGAATTAAGCTGATTACCAGCCGACGAATGCGGGCGTGGAAGTTTACCCTTCCACTGGGTATCACAAATATTGCCCAGTGTTTCCTTTGCCTTTATTCCATTCAATGTTTCACTCCATCAGCTTGAGTTGATTCACAATTACTTAAACTGCAAATTATATATACAAAAATTGTAATTTCTTCAATTTACTATAATTACCCACCTCCATTTCTTAATTGATTAAAAAATATTGAATATAAGTTTAACGCATTAAACAGTTTTATGGCTTACTTCCTTTTTATTGGTTCTATAGCTATATCCTTAGGTTTAGTCGTCTAATAGACATCCTTGGCGTTCTCGATGCAATGTTCACAAGTGTTTTGAGGTGGTAGTCGTATGCCGATTCCAGTTGTTTGTGTTGCATCAGTCCCTGGGGTTTACTTGCTAATGCATGGCCCACAACTCTGGCCACCCAATGTCTACTCATCCCCCTAGTTAGCTATCGCATATGTAGTATTGGTCAAATCTGTTGAAATGTTTACATTTACCGCATGCATTGCACACTGACAAACAGAGGGCTAGGGGCTTTGTGTTTGTTTGCGGTGACAATTTTCATTGCTTTAGGAGCACACATGTGCTTGCAATTCATATGTCGCACATATTTTTGTGGAAATTATTCACAAAAATGCCCGACAGTTTTGTGTCGTTCGACACAACTTGTGACAGCCATCTCCTCCGCATAGCATCAAATGGGTTTCGTATTCGTATTCGTATTCGGGGATGGCAGCGACCGAATAGCTGAATGTTGGATTTGGGATTGGGATGGTTACGCTATATGGTTCGCTGCTCGACTGAGGGGTCGGGGTCTCAGTCGCCTGTCAAGGCCATAAACTAAGCCCAACTCCCAGACTTTCAGCTCTAGTCCGGGCTCATTAATGCGCACTATGTATGTGCTTAAAACGCCATTTGGGCGTTAGCGGAGTGTCTTTCCAGCTGTCTCTCTTTTTGAGCACAGAAGTGGATCTCAAACACTCGAAAAAACAGCTCAGATTCCTTAGTCCTGTTACACCCCATCCTACAGCAAAATATTGAAAAATAACTATTGCAAATATTTTTAAAATAAAACATAGTAGTAGCTTATCTTCGGGTTACTTTTCCAAATTTAGAATTGCATTAGAAAATATTAAAAATGCCCTCTGATGGGCATTGGTTTTTTTCGCAGTGTGCACACATTTTCAAAACATCTTAGTGTTTTTGTTTTTTGGAACACTAGACCTCTTCTTGGAGCCCCTGGAAGTGCCTCCCCCTTTGACGGTGACTGTAAATACTGCGTATGTTGTGGACTGCCAACAATGGCCATCATTCATCGCTCATTCACTGGCAGTCGCAAAAAGCTTTGGGGCACAGAGCGTGTACATTGTACACACTGTACACAGGGGCAGCCCCCCTCCCCCATGGAAAAGGGAAAGGGGCTGGGGTGGGTTGGCCTGGATAGGGGTGTGGCATTTTCCGCAATTCTCTGGCATAAATTTGCTGGCGATAAAATGCGCAACGGGCAACACGAATCGGGATAAGTCCTTTGGCCTCCGAGGCCTGAACTCCAAGGGGGTTGCTAGTCCGCAGTTGTGATAGTTGTTGCTGTTGTTGTTGTAGTGCGCGGGGTTGAACATAAAAACATTTGTTAATGAATGCATTGCAAGAGAGACCCGAGAACAGCGAAAATTGTCCATAAATCCAATTGGCAATGGTGTTTTGCGAATCCGTATCTATGGCATTTAGTATCTGTGAGTGTTGGGGCCTTTGCGAATGTCTGTGTGCCTGCAGCAGCTGATTAATAAAGCCAGCGAGCGAGTGAAAGAAGCAAAACACCTGTTAACCCCGTGTCTGTGTTCCTTCTTCAACGATGAGTTGGCACTAGGCGTGCGAATGTATCCGTATCTATGTGTCTCGGAGAGTATTTATGTATCCAATGTTTCACTCAGAATAAAAACGATTCTTCGGGGGGAATTAATACTTCAATACCGAACCAAACTAGATTATATACTTTTTTTTACAGTCCTAAACCCCTATCTTACCCCTTCAGTCATTCATTACTAGCATTTCTTGTGAATTCAATCTGTGAGTGTGCTTATTAAAGAACAAGTGATTCCACTATTACTTTGTCTATCGATAGAACTTTGGATGGAAGCGCTTTCTATAATGAAGAACTGCGAAATCCATAATAATATAGGGGTACTTCAATATTCCTCAAGGAATTCTTGACATTGGGTTTGTAAAGATTTTTCATATTGGTGTTACGAAAGTTGCACCCTGACCCGCGTGAGACCTTTGGTCGCTGCTCCTTGAATTGGGGGAACCTCCCCAGACTTTCCCAGTTACGAGGGATGGTAATATCGTTTAGGGGATAGGAGGCATTGTTTATTCGCGGTCACTTTGCGATAATGTGCAGCAACGTGTGCGGAAAGTCACGTACTTGAGAGACGGTCTAGAACTGGGATGGGATGGGATGGGTTTTCGGAAGTATCTCACCTGTTGTACAACCTCCTTCTCCAAAGGTGGAGCTCTGCCCTTCTACTGTTGATTGTCTCCGGTGTGTTTCGTTGGCCCTTCGGCAGACGGACACCTGTTTGGGTCTCCTTTGGTTTCAGTTTCAAATGGGTATTTAGCACAGGGGTGGGGGCTAACACTTGTGACACTAAAGCGTGACGCTGTTGTAAGGCATTTTGGTAGTAGTAGTAGTAGTTGTTGTTGTTGTTGTTTAAAGCACTTTGTGGATTCAAAACTTCAAAAAAATATTGTTAAATCTTTTCGATTTTTGATTTTTATGGAATTCATATACTTTTTTCATAAATATCGTAATTAGCACTTGCGTATCGCGAATTTTTGGGGCTTAGTTTGTATTTTGAAGGGGGTTTTGTGTTTTCGGTTTGTGTGTTTTTACAGTTTTCTGTTTCCGCAGCGAATATGTAGCGTTTCAGAGTTGCTTACACGATGGAACCAACACGTTGAATAAAAGTTCGAGCGACGTTCAAATTCGCTTAAAGCCAATAAGTCAGCCAGTGGCAGCGACGCCAGCTGCGGCAGCGGCAGCGTGCGATTCTAACGGCGAGAGAACGAAACGAGTGGCAAAGGGCCGAGAAACAAGGCGAAATGAAACGTTGTTTTAGTTGTTGTTTTGTGTTCTAAGTCGGAGCCGCCATAAAATCTAATAAGAACGCCAGTGGTTGTAGTCGGTCGAGTGAATGAAGGAGGCGTGGGGCGGAGCGGAACGGGGTGGGTTGGTTGGTTTGAGCGGCGCAGTCGGCGGCGGCGTTCCGTTCGAGTCCGGTACACGCAAGGCACTAAAGTGTAGTCTGCTGCCAACCGACCGACTTACCGTCGCGTCGTTACGACTGCCGGACCGCCCGGCGGAACGATTGACAACGGGCCGCGCCAAACAAATAAACAAACGCACCACAAACATCGCACAGGGGCGTCCTTACATCCAGATACACTGTTAATATTTGCAGGGGGTACATATAGAGATAAAACGGACGATATAAAAAGCTCTCTTCTAAAAAAGGGTACAGATTGGAAAAATCGATATCAGTATCCATTTACAAAAACAAATGTATCGTATAACTTTGTTATGTAAAAATTGATAAGCCAACATAAATAAGTTTAGATAAATATAAACTTAAATCGAAACTGTGACATTATAATGAGGTTGCGGGTTGAATTTAGGCTGACCAATAAAGTCGGAGAAGTCTAAACCGAACTGCTAAAGACGTTTACGAAAATACTATGCCGAATTAACAAAAATGAGTTGGCGAGTTTACCAACGGAAATTTAAACCTCTGCATGATCAGCCTTATTAGAATCATGGAACGGAGACATGCGTAAACTTGCATGCTGTACCGGACAATAAAATATTCGCATCAAAATACTAAATATGCCATCCAATACACAAGGCAAGGTTAATGAAAGACAAGTATATAGTAGACTGTGTATTAGTTTAAATCTTATATTAGTTAAATGGACAATCCTAAAGACCCTGCAAATTAAGTTTAACTGTAACCTAATCCCCATTTTGAGACGCCACTGACGCATGGAAGTAGATGTGGAATTGGAACGGCAGCGTAGATATCCGAAAATCGAATGTGTGTGTGTTTGGCTGTTCTTCGTTTTTTGGCTTTTCAGCTTTCTGGTTGGAGCCGAGTCGACAGCAAAAGCCAAAAAATCTTAGTTGAGAAAGCATTTGAATTATACCAACCTGAAAAATTCTCATAACAAGAAGAGGACACAAGATTTCGATATAAGTCTAATCTTTTTAGTGTAAAATCATTTTGACTGATTAATTTTCAAAATTTTTGGTTTGGCTTTTGAATTTGGCCGCTATTTGTGAGACCCACCACCTCCCACGCCAATCAATTTGGGCGTTCCACTTGCTTTCAGCACTTTTGGCAGTGTCCACTTTTCTGGCGGAACGCCTGGAATGGGACACGCATTCGCATTTCAAATGCAGCAGCGTCAACTGACGAAGTGACCTTGAAATTATTATTTTTTTTTTATGCTCCTTCCCTCTTGCTCGCTCTCCCTCAATTCAGCCCACTGAATTGCAGTAACAAAAAGTGCGTTTATTCGATTTTTATTGTGGATAAGTCCTTCATATAATTTATTAATTCTTTAAAAGAGTAAATTTATTATTAGCTATCATTATCAATTATCGATAGCAGTAAGTTTATAGGCAGGAAGAGTCTTTAAATGCATAAGTGTTTCTGGACCTTTAAAGACTTAAAACTGATTTAAACATTGAATAGTGGATTTCTTCAAGTAAAAGAAGGCAAAATTTCTATTAGATTACATACAGTGGATCGCAGCTTATTTCGTGCAGTTACCTAAAAAAAGTTCAAGTCGTTATTCCAGCTAAACTAAGAAAGATAACAGAAAAATTTAAATGCAGTTTTTTAAAAGGGAATATTAACTTGTTTATTAAATTAAAACGATTTCCTTAATCGTAAAAACAAAATAGTTATTAAATAAAAACAAAATGTGCAGGCTTTTTTCATGCCGCAGCTTATTTCGTGCAGTTCATTCTTCTTAACTTATTATTTGTAATTTAAAAGCTAATATTTGGTATGTCCTCATTTCTGGTTCAGGACAGCTTTAAGACGATTTCCCAAGGAAGAAACTAACTTTTAAGTGGTTTCCACTGGAATTTTTGGCCATTCTTCCATAAGAACACTTTACATGTCGTTTTTGTTCGAAATCTTCCTCTTCCTTATAGCGATGTCCAATATTTCCCATAAATTTTTGATCACATTTAAGTCTGGAGACTGTGCTGGCGTTAAGACGGCATGAGGGCAGTTCCAGACAAGATAAACCTCCACAATTCCTGCTGAATGCTTCGGATCGTTGTCCTGGTAAAATCGAAATCGGTCGCGAATGCCCAGTTTTTCAGCAGTTTGGAGCAGGTTTTCCTTATGAATCTGTAGGAACATCTTGGCCATCCATGATAACTTCAAAAAAAATCGAGGTTGCCCCGCCAGAAGCTGCCATACAGGCCCAAACTATAACATGACCCCCGCCATGCTTGACCGTAGCTTATAGGTGTTTGCTTTCCAGCTCTGTATTAGGAACAAGGGAGCATATTCTTCTTCCGATTTCATTTTGGAATGACGTGTTATTTGCAGACGAGTCAAAATGTAAACTTTTTGGTTTAATATGTTTGGCGGCGACCTAATACAGAGCTCGAAAACAAACTCTTAAAAGCTACAGTCAAGCATGGCGGGGGTCATGTTATAGTTTGGGCCTGTATGGCAGCTTCTGGCGGGGCAACCTCGATTTTTTTTGAAGTTATCATGGATGGCCAAGATGTTCCTACAGATTCATAAGGAAAACCTGCTCCAAACTGCTGAAAAACTGGGCATTCGCGATCGATTTCGATTTTACCAGGACAACGATCCGAAGCATTCAGCAGGAATTGTGGAGGTTTATCTTGTCTGGAACTGCCCTCATGCCGTCTTAACGCCAGCACAGTCTCCAGACTTAAATGTGATCAAAAATTTATGGGAAATATTGGACATCGCTATAAGGAAGAGGAAGATTTCGAACAAAAACGACATGTAAAGTGTTCTTATGGAAGAATGGCCAAAAATTCCAGTGGAAACCACTTAAAAGTTAGTTTCTTCCTTGGGAAATCGTCTTAAAGCTGTCCTGAACCAGAAATGAGGACATACCAAATATTAGCTTTTAAATTACAAATAATAAGTTAAGAAGAATGAACTGCACGAAATAAGCTGCGGCATGAAAAAAGCCTGCACATTTTGTTTTTATTTAATAACTATTTTGTTTTTACGATTAAGGAAATCGTTTTAATTTAATAAACAAGTTAATATTCCCTTTTAAAATACTGCATTTAAATTTTTCTGTTATCTTTCTTAGTTTAGCTGGAATAACGACTTGAACTTTTTTTAGGTAACTGCACGAAATAAGCTGCGATCCACTGTACATATGAAATTTTCTTGAGGGGCTCAAAAAGACCCTCCGCATACGTATGTTTGCAAGTTTATTCCATGTTTTTTAACTTAAAGCCCATTTGTTGCACAAACTTCAAGTGAATCGGCGATAAAGCCTATGAATACACATAATTATTGCATAAATGGCAAGAACAAAAAAAACATCACGGAACTCATGGTCTGTGATAAGCAAGCTACTGTTATCGGTTATCGGTAATCAGTTATCAGTTAACGGTGCATGAAAAAGACGGCGAATGGCAGACGCAGAGGCAGCGTGGACGTGACAAAGCTCAACTAGGGCAGTTGCAAGGAGTTTGAAAAGGAGTTTCTTATCAGCGATCGCTGAAGGGTTTGCTGAGTGTGTGGGTTGTGCCTGCGGATGTGGTGAGGGGCGTTGTAAAGTGGTATCAAAACACCGGCAAAAAGAAACGCCGGCTACAAAGACGCACAAAAACAATAACAAATGGTCAATGAGGTGGGGGAAAGAGAAAGAGAGGGAGAGCTCATTTCCAACCGGCTGTGTTCCATTGCCATTTCGTATCAGTCCGCACACAGTTTGTTTGTCCCACTCACGTTTTCACGCGACAGCCGAAAGAGCGGCGAAAAGCGAAAGCTTCGTATCGAATCGTGCGTCTTCGGGCCCCAGTGAATGTACAGTGGGGTCTAAAAATAGACCCTAGTTCGCATCATGCACAGCCCCCATTTGCTGGTGATCACGTCATCCGTACGCTGATTGGCCAGCGCGCTCCATTAGAAGCAAGCACAACAAGAAAAGCAATAACAAAACCCACTGGGGCAGCAACAACAACTTCGAGAAAATACAAGTATTCCAACACAGAAAAGTTCTGTGTCGCCGTCGTCGCTGTTGGCATCTAATAGCGAATTTATAAAGGAATAAAATAAGCATTAAAACGCGCTAACCGGCGCAGGCGAGCACATGGGTGGCGGGAGGAGGGTTCGCAAGGGGGGCACTGGCAGTGGCATATGGAAATTGTTGCAGCAGACGCGACTCCCGAAGTGTGCCAAAAAGTGCCCCTTAGAAAGTGCACATACTCGGGCATGCTAGAGCACATACGGACACAGTGGAGGTCAAGCAAATAGAACTGTCAATAAATGTTCCTTAAAATTTTTTTGCGCTTCGCATTTTGTCAAATCAATTTTTCAAAAATTAATTTAAAAACCATAATTAATTAATGGCCATTTTTTATATTTGTTAAGCTAATCCGTGTTGACCTTGACCTTTAGGCCATTTTTTAAAATTTGAAATAAAGAGAATTTTTTTAACAAATATTTTTTGAATGTGTGCGTGTATGGGTGTGTGGCAGCACCCTCACCTCCACCCCTTTACCCAGCATCCACCCACACATCCACCTCACCCCTTGTTAGTAAATTGGAATTGTCAGCTTTTGTTGCTGCCGTCGCATTCATAGCTAAAATTTTGCTTTAATGAAATGCTAAAACTTGTTATGTAAAGCAAAAACAAATTGTGCTTACGATGGGGTCGACCTGTGGAATACCCCATTAAATCATACATAAGTAAGCCCACCGAGCTGTCTTATGTATCTTTTAGAGAAAACCTACAGGGTAAGTAACGCAATTTCAATAGCAATTGCAGTTCGCTCTCTGCATATGTATGTATGTATATGCAAATAAAAATTAATCATTGCAAATAACGAAACCCATAAAAAATCAACTTAACAACAATTTAAAGTGTCTAGGTGGCAGGGTCGCCTTGTTGATACCCAGCAGCTGCCGCACACCCATACGACATCCGTCTCTACGCATACTAGTGACTTGGTTTAAAAGCTATCCCAGTCCGCATTTTATATAGCCGAAACAGCGAATGCATATACTATATAAACATTTTTTACAATGTTAAAAATACGTTCCAAATTTTAATAAAAACGAACGACTATATCATATAAATGTCATAAGAAAGATCAGAAAATGAATAAGAAGATCGGAATAACTTCAATGATCAACTATATCGACTACATCAATTAACTTAAAAATACGATAAGTAGTCGATTTGCAAATATGTTTTTTTTTTGTATTTCTTTTACGGTTAATTTTTTAACAGCTTTTTTACAGTAAGACCGTAGCAAACTCAGTTTGGATGAACTCTGAAAAATTGGGTTACACTGGAAATTGAACAATTAACAATCAAATTTTTAAAGCCCCCAAATCGGAAAACTTTGTAGGGACATGGTAGATGCATTGGACGGTATATACCCGAAAAGCTTCTCAAATCTAACCATACACGCTGCAATAAAACAAGCAAGGGTATAAAAATCCGAAAACTTTATCATTTCATTTATAATTGGAAAATAATATGAAAATGATCATAAATTCGTTGTTTTTCTAAATATATGATTTTGAAAATACATGTGCAATATTGCAGTGTGTTTTAGCCGGTTCGAGGTCAGGGATAAGAACAATTAAAACTCATTAAAGTGTT